TCCGGAGCCACGGCGTCGAGTGGGGCTCTCCGGGCAACGGAGCCGGGCAGTGGTCGGGTCGGAGCCCTGCCGCTGGAAGAGGTGCGGCGGTGAGGACTTGTTCAGTGGCTTCGTCAGTGACACGAAATCGTAGCGACCATTGGAGCTGCCGAGCACGGGACTTCCTCCGCTGCGACTGGGGTTTTTAGCTTTAGGAGAAGGCATTTTTGTCGTTAACTATAGCAACCGAAAGGATTCACTGTAGCTGCACCGCAGTAGTAAGTTTTCTTCACTGCTGCGCTGCTGTCGCTCTAATATCTTATCTATTGTACGTTTGACAATTCATGTCACGTCGTTTGTGTTTGATCTGCATCGCCATCTTTGTTGTCCTTACGAAGCTTCTTCTTCCTCTTATAATAGACTTCCGCAGGCTGTCCGCTGCGTGGCACAATGCCGCCCCCCACAGACACATAGGCGTATTTTAGATTTTTACATACAAGATGGCGCGTTAAAAATCTGTCTGTGCAGATTCTCAGTCATCCAGGTCATAGTAAGCTGAAAAAACTTAGAAATAATCAACTGGACTAGATTTCTAGATGTGTTTGTGAAGCGGCTGCTTAGTTTCACCAATGTACAAGTCATTACACTCCTGACTACACTTAATTGCATACACCACATCACTCTGTTTATGTTCTGGGTGTTTTGTCCTTTGGGTGGACCAGTCTCTGCCGCAGGGTGTTCCCTGGTTTAAAGTTAACTGGGATATTGTGGTTGTGAAAGATCCTTTTTAACTTCTGATAAACCAGCCACATAAGGGATGACAGTGTTGTCCCTTCTTGTTTCTGGTTTCTCCCTGTTGGTGTTGGGCCTCTTCCTTGCTTTGGTGAAGGCCCACTTAGGGTATCCACAAGCCCCAAGGGACTTCTGGATGTGTAATTTCTCCTTCTTGGCCCCTTCTGCAGTTGTGGGCACTTCCTCTGCCCTGTGATTTAAAGTTCTGATGACTCCCAGTTTGTATTGAAGTGGATGGTGTGAGTCAAAAAGCAGGTACTGGTGTAGGTTTCTGATATACTTCTACCTTCAGGATTTTGCCCCCTCCCAAGTGGACTGCACAATCCAGAAAGGCCAGACAGTCCGCTTCACAAACACATGGCCCAACACAGGAGGGCCAACTCCAGTGGACCAGAGTCAGCAGTCCACCTCCACCTGAGGGACAAAGGACATTCTTTTGAGGACAGTGAAGTCCAGATCCTCTTCAGAGAACATCGCTGGTTTGAGAGAGGAGTTAAGGAAGCTATTTTTGTAAAAATAGAACACCCCTCATTAAATGAGGGATTGTGACAGTGACGTCATTGATTTAAGTATATAGGTTTATAATTTGGTAAATTGAATTGTGAATCCTTTTTTATAAATTTATGCATTTTACATTAACCGATGTTTGTAACGTTTTGATCGTTTAATAAAGTTATTTTAAAACGTGTAGCTTCATTACTTTGCTCCGATTGGTCAATAACCTAAGTACAAAGGTTAACCACGCCCTTCTCCATGCCCACGTGGTAGACCCCATGAACAGACGAGAATAATAGGCTTCTGTTGCGTTTGAACCTGAGCTGTACAGAAGGGTCCACCATGCCTGGGTTACTGCTGGGAGACGAGTTCCCCAACTTCGAAGCTGATACAACCATCGGCAGGATCAAATTCCACAGTTTTCTGGGTAGCTCGTAAGTACACAGGCTTCAGTTTAGCTAGTATGTTCTGTCTTCGTTTTGGAGTATGCTTCGTAACGTTACTACATTTGACTGGGCAGTGTGAGTTGTTAGCGTGAAGGCTTTTTTGCAAGACTGAGGAGCCGAGAACGGGTTAATGCTGAATTCAAAAACAAGGCGTGTGTGTGTGTGCGTTTTTAATCTAGAACAGTTTCACAATGAAGAATCCCCGTCAATGTCCCACATCTCTTCCCATTAAGGAAAGAAGGAAGTAATCATAACTGGGTAGTGTCCTTTTATTGATAATCATACAATTGCCCCAAGTCATGCATGTTTGAAAACTAGGACTTGCTCATTGTGTATCCACTTTTCGGGATAAGGAAACATGTTTAAAAACTGACACATTCTTCAAGATAGGAGGCTGGTATTATTGACCTGTGCCAATTTAGAAAAAGCTGTCAATGTTACCTGTATATTTCAACGGGACAAAGGTGAGTGGTTTTTAGTTTTTAAAATATAAATCATCATTTTCATGATGAGTATTCACTTAATTGGTTTTGTCATCCACATTGTGTGTTTTTTTTTGGCAGAGCACACAGGACATCCTCATTTAAAAATACACTTTAAAGGAAGACTTTTAAAAAAGACAATCACCCAGTAATGAGCTTAAAGCAGACAGTGACACACTGACTAACCTTAGTTTGTATGTTCAGCATTTATATTGTTCCTGGCATGATTATTAAATTAAATGACATCTTAATTTAATTGACAGTCATCATGAAAGTCCTGACTGACACATGGGGTCACACAGGTAGGATAGGGGACACACCTACACTTATGAAGTTGTTGTTCTCCAAGATGTACTGTAGGAACCTTTTTGTGTTGTTGAATAGCTGATATTAGCTTCTGTCCAGAAAGAGTCATGGCAGCAAACTTACATTTATATATTTGGTATCATTTTGTCTGGGTATAGTGTTTTTTTTTTGTTTTGTTTTTTTCTGGCCGGTTCATTGGTGAGGCATAAGCACAACTAGGGCAAGGCCTGTATTATGTGTGTTGTGCTTTCAAAAGCATGTGACCTGCCTATTAAAACAAGGACACTGCCCAGCTGTGATTACTTCCTTCTTCCCTTAGTGGGATTGGAGTTGGGACTGTGAAGCAACCTTACCATACCAGATTGCTTAAACGAACAATGTTCCAGTCTAATCTGGGCTTCTGGTTGCTCCATAATCATCTGATCTCAATGAGGAGCTGTTGCCTCTGCTACATGTGACTACACTTCAGAACAAATTTTTTGGGGGGGGGAGTCCTATGATGAAAATTCATGTGGTTTTTGAAGTGAATTAGGCTCTATAAAAATCAAGAGTTTCATATATGTTACACTCCAGTGATGCCTTTGCAGGAAAACTCATGTCAGCCTTGCCACTGACCCCCCACCACCACCACCATCACATGCTCTGGCTACCCCCAGTACGACACAGCTGGATTTACTGTCTTGGTATTTGAGTCTTGCTCAGATTCACCATCTGTGGCTGAGGCTGAATGTTCTCAGTCGTGTGTGTGTGTGTGTGTGTGTGTGTGTGTGTGTGTGTGTGTGTGTGTATTTTTCTTTTTCCTCCCCAAAGCTGTTTCTTCCTTTTACTGTTGTGGGAGCTCCCACTCCCTGTGCTCTTGATTCTTGTCAGTCTTTTTGACTCTTTAAATTAGTTTCAAATTCTGGACTCTGTGTCCCTGATAAGAAATATGGGTGTGTCAAGGCATAAATACAGAAAACACAGAATGTGAAGTCCATTAAAGGCTTATAGAAGTAAGAGCATGAAAAGTCTCATCTTGCGTCAGTGCAGCTTTGACCTTTTAGCTGTCTTCATGTTGTGTGGCTACTTGTACATAGAACATGGCCTTGGGTTTTCTGAGCCAGATAATATCATAAATGTCTTATTCCTTGACATCTGTTTTCCTCTGCAGGTGGGGTATCCTGTTCTCTCACCCAAAGGACTTTACTCCTGTCTGCACCACTGAGCTGGCCCGTGCTGCCAAGCTCAGCGACGAGTTCAAGAAACGAGATGTGAAGATGATTGCCTTGTCCATTGACAGTGTTGAGGATCACCATAACTGGAGCAAGGTTGGACATTAAACTGCACACATACTGTATACCTCCATCTCTGTTTCACTGTGGAGCATCAGAGGTGAAAGGATAACTTTGAACTAGCAGACTGCTGTGGCTGGAGAGGCACTTAATTATTGTAATTAACATTCATGTACTTTTATTGTAGAACATTTTAAAGCTTGCAGGTGGTTCACTATCTAGAAACATTAACAGTAGTGTCATAAGCCCCATTTAAACTCCACCTGTTGGTCTCAGTTTAAGTATGTGTTTGCTGACCTGCAATCTAAACCCAAAGTCTCTGTTTTCATCAAAACCACGCTCCTGCAGTTTTTTTGAATGTCCACAACTATAATTTAAATTACAGTTGAATAGAATATTGTAGCTATAAAAAAAGGCCAATCTGGAAGTTAACATTGCCCTGTTTTCCCTTGACAAAAAAGACTTTTGGATTCTTAAACTACACTGAATAAAATTATAAACGCAACACTTTTGTGTTTGCCCCCATTTTTCATGAGCTGAATTCAAAGATCTATGACTTTTTCTATGAACACAAGAGGCCTATTTTGCTCAAATATTGTTCACAAATCTGTCTAAATCTGTGTTAGTGAGCACTTCTCCTTTGCCAAGATAATCCATCCACCTCACAGGTGTGGCATATCCAGATGCTGATTAGACAGCATGATTATTGCATAGGTGTGCCTTAGGCTGGCCACAATAAAAGGCCACTCTAAGATGTGCAGTTTTATCACACAGCACAATGCCACAGATGTCGCAAGTTTTGAGGGAGCGTGCAGTTGGCATTCTGACTGCAGGAATGTCCACCAGGGCTGTTGCCCATGAATTGAATGTTCATTTGTCTACCATAAAGCTTTCTCCAAAGGCGTTTCAGAAAATTTGGCTGTACATCCAACCGGCCTCACAACTGCAGACCACGTGTAACCACACCAGCCCAGGACCTCCACATCCAGCATCTGGACCAGCCACCCAGACAGCTGCTGTAACAATCAGTTTGCATAACCAAATAATTTCTGCACAAACTGTCAAACTGTCTTGGGGAAGCTCATCTACATGCTCGTCGTCCTCATCGGGGTCACGACCTGAGTGTAGTTCATTGTCGTAACCGACTTGAGTGGGCAAATGCTCACATTCGATGGCGTCTGGCACTGTGGAGAGATGTTCTCTTCACGGATGAATCCCGGTTTTCATTGTACAGGGCAGATGGTGTCGTGTGGGTGAGTGGTTTGCTGTCAACATTGTGGATCGAGTGGCCCATGGTGGCGGTGGGGTTAAGGTATGGGCAGGCGTATGTTATGGACAGCGAACACAGGTGTATTTTATTGAATTTTGAATGCACAGAGATACCGTGATGAGATCCTGAGGCCCATTGTTGTGCCATTCATCCACGACCATCACCTCGTGTTGCAACATGATAATGCACGGCCCCAAGTATCTGTACACAATTCCTGGAAACTGAAAACATCCCAGTTCTTGCATGGCCAGCATACTCACCGGACATGTCACCACCCATTGAGCATGTTTGGGATGCTCTGGATCGGCGTATACGACAGCGTGTTCCAGTTCCTGCCAATATCCAGCAACTTCGCACAGCCATTGAAGAGGAGAGGACCAACATTCCACAGGCCACAATCAACAACCTGATCAATTCTATGCAAAGGAGATGTGCTACACTGTGTGAGGCAAATGGTGGTCACACCAGATGCTGTCTGGTTTTCAGACCCCCCAATACAGTAAAACTGCAGATCTTAGAGTGGCCTTTTATTGTGGCCAGCCTAAGGCACACCTATGCAATCAGAGATTGCTGTCTAATCAGCATCTGGATATGCCACACCTGTGAGGTGGATGGATTATCTCGGCAAAGGAGAAGTGCTCACTAACACAGATTTAGACAGATTTGTGAACAATATTTGAGAGAAATAGGCCTGAAAATGGGGGCAAACACAAAAGTGTTGCATTTATAATTTTGAAGTAAAAAGCTATTGTTAGGCTATAAACCAATCACACCACAGTCCCATGGCTTCAGTGGCCACAGCTTCCAACTTGTAATTTGATTTATAGTGCTTACCTCTCCTACAAAATCTGTTCCTCTTGCCGTGACCTGAGCTAGCTGTTGATCATGGCTGTAGCAGTTGGAATTTTGTAAGTGCACGAGACTAAATACGAGGCTGTAAAGGCGGACTAGTGAGAAGAGGTCTCTGTCTGGGATTTTAACGGTCATAACAGTCTCTGTAGTCTCACTTAGCCGCTTTTTTAGTAACCACCTTTTTAAGATGTAAAAGCATTTTAAATATCATAAGAGGTATTTACTGGTGTATGTTTGTGTTAACCACAGCTTATTTCAGGTGTCTAACCAAAACCCCACTAATTTCAGGACGAGGGAACCTGAAATGCAGCTCACTTCTACAGCACGTGTGTGTGTGTGTGTGTGCGCGCGCGCGCGCTTGTTTATTTTTATTAAGAAAACGTCTTGGTAACTGGGTGAGATTTGAAGCTACTAAGAGTGATAGACTTAAATTTGGACTCCCAAGTTTCTGATCTTAAGCTACAAAGAAGTTTTGCACTGAAAGTAGCTCCCAAGTGAGAAATTAAGAGGCAGTCAAGAGGGCTCTTGATAAACATCAGGGTTTTTTGTTTGTTTGTTTGTTTTTGAGAAATACAGTTTTAAAAAGCCTGTTTTGATGGTGGGTGAGTTAATGAGGATCACGTCAAGAAATTGAAACAATCCAATGACACCAGGAAAAAAAACAACAAATTGCATCTCAGAATTGGTTTTTAAATGAAATTCATTTAATATAGTTGGAACATGTTTCATTTTTGTTTAAATTTCAGCTTTGTTATAAATTCAGTATAATGTTTTTACATGAAGTTGAAATTTGGATTTCAATTTCTATAATTTTTTTTTTTGTGTGTTCAGGCTGCTGTTTATTTTATTTCACATACAGAGATGGGTCACCTGTCTGCCATTAACAGACATAGTGAATAAATGAATCTAGGATTATGGTGAGAATTAGGTCAACCCTGCTTATTACTTTGCCTTTCAGGAGGTCCCCCCATTTAAAGTTGCTCTCAGTGGCTTCTGAACTGTTCTTAAGAAAAAACTCTTACCTAGGAGCTTTTAGTAACATTTAGGTGGAATCCTAATGGTGGGATAATAGTGTGGCCCCTGGTGTCTGTAACCTTCCAGCTTTAAACCTGGCCCCTGTTTGCATCTTGCTCTTCATAGCGTTATCTGGCAGGAATGGAGTACTCAGACATTTATGAGTTAATCTGTATGCGCCAGACAGATTTTTAACCGGGTTGTCACATTACAACAACGCCTCCTCACGGAGGCCAGTGATTGGTCCTAGAGGGAACAGAGTTAAGTTGATTGGACCGGTATCCCTCAGGTGGATTTGTTGTTGCAGTAACACCGCCTGCCTCCCTGCCAAGAAAGTAGAACATTACATGCTCTTTGAGCCAAATGTTCTCTCTCTGCCTTCCAGAATTTTTTTTTTTTTCTTTCTCTTTTTATCTGTGAGGCAGCAGAGTTGGCACTACAGTCACAGTGCATGGACCAGTGCTCATAACTATTTTATGGCTCATGCAAGATTTAAAGATTGGGGGCTGGGGTTATCTGGCCACCATCATATATGTGCTGCAGGGATGGTGAGACTTATTAACTTAAGAGTAGTGTCATACATGTGTAGAGGCTGAACTCTTGTCCTTTCCCTCTGTGTAGGACGTGATGGCAGTAAACAATGAGGCTGGCCACACTTTGCCCTTTCCCATAATCGCTGATGATAAGAGAGAGCTGGCTGTCCAGCTGGGCATGCTGGACCCTGATGAGAAAGACAAGGATGGAATGCCCCTCACCGCTCGATGTGTATGTAACCTGTACTTAATGTTTTTATGTTTATCATACACAAGACCAAAGGCAGTCTCCTCTAAAATTAATACTAAGTCAGAGTAAAATCTGTACTGGCCAATGGGCAAGTACAAGTTTTTTTTTTTTTTTTTAAATGGTCATATTTGCAACAAGATCTGAAGCAGCAGCATATTCTGGGTGTTCTGTGTCATGTCAACCCACTCCAGGTCTTTGTGATTGGCCCTGACAAGAAGCTGAAGCTGTCCATTCTCTATCCTGCCACCACAGGAAGGAACTTTGACGAGTTGCTCCGAGTGATCGACTCTCTGCAGCTCACTGCACAGAAGAAGGTTGCCACACCGGTCGACTGGAAGGTAAACTGTGTACTCGCAGAGGTGTCGGTGTATGTTACTGAAAACCAAGTCAGCACAGGCTGTTTCCAACAATTTGGTTGGTCAGAGACAGAATTGACCTCAGTCTAAATTTTAAACACACTTCCAGCCTCTCACTTCATTACAATGCAGGCTACTTCTTAGACTGTACAAAACTTTTGTCACTTTTTTGTTTTTAAAGCCTGGTGACAAAGTCATGGTCATTCCATCACTCTCTGTGGCTGAAGCTGCTGCTCTCTTCCCCAACGGTGTGACCACTAAAGAGGTGCCTTCTGGGAAGACGTACTTGCGCTACACTCACCTCTAAAGAGACACTAGAGACCACATCCTGCACTAGTCTACGGCTTTTTGACTGGCCCAAGTCAGGCATAATGTCCAACAATGGAAAAAATATTTAGTGTCATTACACAGTGCCTTGTTAAACCTGCCTCAATAAAGACACTTCACATTCTCTGGAAGTCTTTGAGTTTTTCACACAATTTACAGTTTGGTATAGCAAAGGAAGAGGAAGTGGGTAACGGCTTCCTCTGCTCTGACTTGCTGTGCCACTAGGTGTTGCGCTACGATCTAAAAGAGAAATATCACTGTGCTTCTTTTGCAGTGTCAACTTTAAACAATAGGTGTCAGTGTATGCAAACAAACTGATGGAGCAGTCTGAAAACATCAGCTTAACAATTGGAGAGAGAGGGAGTGGTACTGTGTCCTGAAATGACTCTTTATTAAAAAAATAAATAAATAAACAAAAGAAACTGGCAGCATTATGTTGATTTCCACTTTCAGCCCTGTTAGGCAGACTTGCACAGTGTGCAGCAGGTTCTTAAATTTCCCATTTACTCTGAATTTTAATCATTTTGCCTGTTCAGCACTGCAGGCTAATTCACCTGTTGTGTAGATGTCTTACTGTACCATTGTCTATTAAATTTCTAGTAGTAGTGGCACTAGGAAGATGAAACCTACAAGTCATGTGGTCCAAGAGGACTGGGTGTGATTGAAGTAATTATTTCAAGTACACTTTAAAGTTAATTGCACTTAACTATATCAATTTTGTTACTTATGCCACTACATTTCTGAGGGGAAAATGTGCTTAACTTGACAGATGAAGTTAGTGGGTACTTTAGACTGACTTTTAAATTAAATTCCTATTAAAACCTCTTCTAATACAGCATGATGCTAGAGGTCACACCAGTGTCCTTCAAGTCTTTTTGACTATAAACAAAGCAGTATATTGCCTGGGCCCCTTGTCATGTTTCAGATGTGTATTTGTTAGCAGTTCCTTCATAAAGACATTTCTCTAAACTTCACACATGGCTTCATTTCAATAACTGAGGCCCAAACAAATAAAACGTACTTTAAACAAATGCTTAAATGAGGAAAAAAATGTATATAAAAGGCACAAGTTTGGGTAGCAGGACTGTTTTTTTCCTTCTCTCTTCTCCCATTACTCCTCTCACCACCCCTCAGTACATCTGGTGACTCTTTGAATGGGGCCTGATCCTTGGGTTGAGAACCATTTGGTTAAACTAGCTAACATCATTTAAAGATATTGAAACTGCAACAAATTTTTGTTTACATTTTGATGCATCAGTATTAACAACCTGTTAAATATAAAGGCATATCAGTCACTTGTGATACTTTAAATTCATTTTGCTGGCAGTACCTTTGTAGAAAGTTGAAAGCAGAAATTTTTCAGTTTTTACATTGTAATGGACCTGAGAACTTCTTACACTGCACTGTCGCAGCATTTTTTTTTTTGTGTGAAAATGCTTTAGTTTGTTTGAATAACAGGATTAATTACACAAACGGCACAGGTTATAAACTGATTTAACAGTCCTGCATGTATTTTTTTTAGGGGAGCAGCGTTTGTGCTGTCACCTCACAGCAAGAAGGTTCTGGGTTTGAGCCCCGGCTGACCCAGCGCCTTTCTGTGCATTTGCATGTTCTCCTTGTGCCTGTGTGGGTTCTCTTTGGGTACTCTGGCTTCCTCCCACAGTCTGAAAACATGCAGCTTAGGTTGACTGGCGACTCTAAATTGCCCCTAGGTGTGAGTGTGTGTGGTTGTGTCAGCCCTGTGATAGACTGGTGACCTGTCCAGGGTGTACCCTCCCTCTCCCCCGGTGTCAGCTGGGATTGACTCCAGCGCCCCCACGAGCTGGATATAATACTAAATGACCTCAATACAAATTCACAGAATAACTTTGAACTCATAACAACATCCCACATCTGAAGATGGATAAAAGCATGAACTAACACTCAGAAGATGGCCTCAACTGTAGACCAGACACTGTAGCCAGGACTGGGGTGTAGGTTTCATCTTATTCAACCCTCCAAAATTGCATGTTTGAGGATTGTATTAATTGTACTGAAAGTGAACACTGAGCTCATATGCACACACACACTGGCCTCGCAGTCATTTTAAGTCTAAGGAATGGCGAGGTCAAAGAGAAAAGATGGGATTCCCTTTGAGTGAGGAGGGAGAGAGTCTGCTGAGCCAGATAAAATATCTCACTGCCCTCCCTCATCTCACTCCTGTCATCCACACAATGTGACCTGGAATATTAGTTGTTTTTTTTTTCTTTTTAATCAGTTACTCAACACAAACTCCCTGCAAAATTAGGTCTCTTCAGCAGACTGCATAATCTCTTTTTGTGTGGAATAGGATAATACTGATCAAAGCACAGTGCCTACATTATCCTTGATGTGCAGTGTGTGATGAAAGTACATGTATTCATCAGGTAACCCTTGTCCTCCACCTCCCTTGTCTGTTCTCCTTTTTCCTTCTCTGGTGGCTGTTTGTCCCCAGGAGTCGTCCAAAATAACACCCACAGACACATCACACTGATCAAATGCATTTCTCAAATTCCAGACGACAATAGCCTGTGCCAGAGAATGAGAAGCGCTTTGGGTGTCAGGCACTGGCTTAATTGCCTAGTACCAACCCACCTCCCCCCTCTCCACCACGCTCCCTCCTGTTCATCTGTCACCCCACACTTCTTGGCTATCAAGCCAACTCACCCCACCTTGCCTCAGCAACACTAGTACATGTAATACTATACGAGCCTGGCCCAGGTCTCACGGGGCAAAACACAAACACAATACCAGCTGCTGGTTTCCCTCTTTATAACACACACATACACACCATACTGCTGATCAAAGTTATAAACTGTGCTCTGAAAGGAGTGGCCTCCCATCAGAACTCAGCTTATCTCAAAGATTTCCCCTCAAACACAACAGGCCCCAGTTTTCCAGAGAACTGATGACCAGACATTTTGCAAATCCTGAACAAAGCAAAATGAGAGTTTTGATCTGAAACTACAAACGGATGCTGAAGGCATGTTAGAAGTTGTTTCCTAGTATTTTAGTGGTTGAAATGGTACAAATGGTTACTGTGACATTATGAATCATTTAGCCTATGTAGTGAAAAAGATGGGAACACTAGATCCAGCCATTTCATTCCCATGCACCAGGTAAACAAGCTTTATGCTAGTACCTCATAGGGTTACTTTATATCTTACTGTGAGGATTCAGAGATATAAAGAAATGATTTGACATTTGACATAATTTACTTTCCTGCCATAAGATAAATAATTAAACTGATACCACTGTCATTTGCCTGTTCAATATAAAGCAACCAGCCAGCTTATGTTAGCATAAAGCATGCAGACAGGGAACCAATTAGCCTGGTCAAAAGGTAACTAAATCTACCTATCAGCATCTCTAAAGCTGACTAATTAACATAATATATGTATATAGTTTAATATCTACAAAACCAAAATGAACAAACTGTGGTTTGGCATAACAACCTCTAAAATATATGTAAATGGCTCATTATAAACCATTTCTGACTTTTAAAGGTACTGGTAGATGTTACTTATGGACCTATGCTAGCTGCTTCTCCTCAGAAACAGAGAAACAGCTAATCTTAGCTTTATGCTAAGCTAAGCTAACCGGCTGCTGGTTGTAGTTTCATATTTAAGAGACAGATATGAGAGTGGTATCAATCTTCTTATTTACTTGTTTATTTTCTTCTTATTTAACTCTCAGAAAGAAGTGAATAAGCATGTTTTTCAAAATATCAAGCTATTTATTTAAAGTGCTGCAGGCCTTTTGACATAAAAACACCATGAACACACACACTATTTGTGTCTGTTTCAGTGTGTGTTTATTCATGAGGTCGCTATGGACAAGGTCATTATTCCCATGCTGTGTGCCAGGCGTTGACTTCATCACCCAAAGCTGCCTGTGACCTCCAGGTTAACAAGCCAGGGACCAGAGGAGCTACAAAACACATGCACACACGCACACACATGTACTCGCACATATGCCGAGCTATGACTTGATGCCTTCCAGACGTGCTCTCACTCTCTCTCCCTCCTACATAGCCTGGCACTCCTGCCTGCCCCACTCTCCACATCTCCCACACACTTGAAAACACAAACTCACACAAGCACCTCCCCCATCTCACCCAAGCCCAGTTATCAAAGTTTTTGCTTCTTTGGCTTTCCTTTCTCATGCAGAGACAAAACACTGCACTGTCAAGTCTTTCTCTTTGTTTCCTCCTCGCTCACCGTTCAGTTTAATCCTCTTTATGGTTATCCTCTGAAATTGCTGCTAAACCTGTGTACTAACTTATCAAGTACAACTAGGAGGTACTGACAGTAAGACATGCACAAAATGAAGGTCAGACAGATAAACAGAAATATACACATTGACCTCAGGATTTGGCTGAACTTTAAGGAACATTAACTGCCTCATAGTTGACATTCACCCTTGAGCTTTCCTCACTCCTACTAAAACACAGGTCAATGGGACCTTCAGCAGACATGTACATACTTGCATGTACAGAGGGTGAACACATAATGATAAAAGTGATGAAAGCATATGATCCGAGTGCCTTGATAAATGTCATGGTTTTGATGTCGCCTCGTAAGTACAGCATTCAGTCAGACTGTTATAGCAGAGCAGGTTAGGGCTGGTTAGTGCTCTAAACAAAAAGGATGATGAATGGGAAGGTAAAAGTGAAATCACTCTCTGTGCTTATCTTGATCTCTCTCAAGTAATATGGCTGTCTTTTTCCTGCTTTTTGCACCCCCTGTTCTCTTTATTAGAGACACATTGATCATCAGATGCTGGCATATCACCTGAGTAATGGCTAAGGGTGTCTGGGCTCTAAAACAACCCCCAGTACAGCATTAGGAGCTTTATCATGGCGACAAGGCAAATGGCTGCACACTCCATAAACTATTCCTGTGTGTGTGTGTGTGTGTGTGTGTTGGGGGGCGGGGATGGGTGACATAACGCACGGGACTGTACCATTAAGAGAAGACATCAAACACAGACCATCAGCCTGGCCACAAATTGTGGCAGCACTAAATCACTTTTAGTCATTAATAATGTTTTCAACATGTGTGTTCAGTATACTCATTAGATTACATTTGAACCCTTTAACATAGCGT